TTTTTTTTTTTTTTTTTTTTTTTTTTTTTTTTTTTTTTTGGCACTGCCAAGAGGTGTGGGATCATGGGATGAAGATTTTCTGGCACCAGGGCATCTGTCCACTGAGAAGGAGATTGACAGGGCTGGAATGGTTGGGTTTGTTTGTTTTCTCATTTCACAACTCGGAAGAGCCAGACATCTGAGAGCTCGGATGCTTCATTGCACGGTGTCAAAACCGGCGGAGGCACAGATTTGAAATCTGCATACGTGGACAAAAAGAGGGCATATTTGAAATTAATTACAATTTCTAGGCACTACCCAGAGAACAATATTTACCCTTAATAAGCATGCACCAAGGAACGGCACATTTACTGCACAGCTTTTAGTGAAGCTGCAGTTTTCCACGCTTCCGTGTAGGACTCCAAGGCTTAACTAGGACTTTTCATTTTATAAAAACATTTTTAAGAGTTCTCTTATAAAAAAGAATTAAATGTCACTGATTTAAAGTCAAGCTAAAATGAAATGAAATGCAAGTGACCCACTGGGACTTCCTATGCTTGCAGTTGCATTTATCTGCATCACACACAACACATCAGTTGTAAAACATCCCATAACCCTGGATAGGTGTCACAGCCTTACCTATAATCCTCCTGGAAATTCTGGGAAGAAAAGGTAAACAATTTTAAAAAGGGAAAAAAAAGCACTGGTCTTACTCTCTTTCAATGGTAGATAAAGAAATAGGTGAAGAAATTAATTTTTCCTAATAAATAACCTCCTTGTGCATAAATAACAATAAAGGAATGGGAAAAATTAGAAAAGAGGGAGTGACCCACTGCAGGTGTAAATGAAAAATGAATTAATTCACACTGCTACAAACTTCCTTCTCACTGGTGAGGTGCTGGCACTGTAACCATCTTTTTATTTACCTCTGATTTAGGGGTCTTACCCTGCGAGATGTTTATGGGTGTTCATTGTGGAAATAAAAATCCAAACTAGTCAACTTATTTTCTGAGGATCCCACAGCAGGAAGGGCTGTCCAAGATGCTCCAGCTGACACCTCTCTATTCCAAGGTACCTCCATTTTCCCCAATCAAATCAGAACAACTCTAATTAAAGGTAAGCAAGAAGCTAAAGTGAGATGAATGGTTTATAGGTGCTTCATGCTTCCCTACATTGATTAATAGATAAAGAATTCATCCCTCCACCAAATTAGTTGACAAACCCTGCTGTAATTACTCCCTGTACACGATGATCTGTAGGCACAGGGAACTCCAGCAGGGACCGAGCTCCAGCTCCCTCCAAAGATATTTTGTGCTGGTTGGCTGCACCCACCAGGTATTTACATCCCACAAATCTTGTCTTAGGATTCCAAGTTTCTCAATATGGCTTTAATTTGAAATTAAAGCAGGGGTGGTCACCCTTTCATGGAATGCCATTACTTGTGAATCAATTTTGCAGCACAGGCAGTTGCCCTGGACTCTGCTATTTCTTGGCTTTGGGAATTTAATTTTTCCTTTCTTTTCCCTTGTTGTCCTGCATGTTACTCTGCTCTGTGAGCAGCAAACACACTTTTATTTCACCCATGGAAGAAATTTTGTGAAAGCAGTGCATTTGCCACCTCAAAATCAACCCCAAAGTTGATGCAGAAGACACCTGACCACTCCTAAAGCAGAGCACTACAAGAGAAAAACACTTCAGGCCTGCACCAAATATTGCCTGGCCACCATGGACCAGGCTGGAGGCATCCAGAGATGGGCTCCAAGTCCTGGAGAATGCATTGAGTTATTTTTAAGGAGTTTGCTATTAGAATAACTAATGGTTGGTAGGGTAGGAACCAGCAGCTGGGGAGGGGTGGGTACAGAGTTTAGTCTCATTCATTGATTACTTTCCAGTTCAAGTTTTGCAAGGATGATCCAGCCCTTGAGATGGAGATCCCAATGCTGGAAAAATGGTAATCAATAAATCTATTGGGAAAAACATAATTTCATTTTCCTTCTTAACCAGAAATTGAGATACACACATTTCTCCCTCCCTGCTTTTCCCTGACTTAAATATATCCTGTGTTATGTAAGTAATTGCTTTGAACCCACTCTAGGACACAGCCAGAGACATGACTCCAATAACACATTATCAGTAAAACAAAGCAAAACAGTTTCATGTCCCTGCTGGGTTTGTATATCCACTCTTAAATGAGCAGATTGTCTCATTATTCACCCTGATCTGGTCATTGTATGCTTAGTCACAGCTGTCACAACAGGTGCCCAAGCCTCCCCCTCCGTGGCACTGCCTTTGCTCTCTGGAGTTTGTTGTCACATTCCTCTGGTGGCTTTGCTGTTCCTTCTCTGGCTCTTTCCAGGCTCACCTTCACCATTCCTGAAACCATCCAGGGGTGGCTAACTCAGGATATAACAAACTTTCATCATTCCTGAAATCATCCAGGGATGACTAACTCGGGATATAACAAACTTTCATCATTCCTGAAATCATCCAGGGATGACTAACTCGGGATATAACAAACTTTCACCATTCCTGAAACCACCCAGGGGTGGCTAACTCAGGATATAACAAACTTTCACCATTCCTGAAACCACCCAGGGGTGGCTAACTCAGGATATAACAAACTTTCATCATTCCTGAAATCATCCAGGGTGGCTAACTCAGGATATAACAAACCTTCACCATTCCTGAAACCATCCAGGCTGGCTAACTCAGGATATAACAAACCTTCATCAGTTCTTCACAAGCTGATGTTCCTCATGCCATCACACAAAACAAATTTATTGATCAACTTTGGCCATGGTTGTCTTGCCTGGACTTCTCCCATCTCTCTCAATATCTCCAGTGACCACTTCTCATGGCATTAGATATTCCAGGACAAGGCAGGGCTAGAGGCTGATTCCTTCACTAGACCAGATCATGCCAAGTGACAGCAGGAGTCTCCAGTGAGTTGAGAATTACTGTAGGCTGTTGTCCAACATTATATTTAACAAGAAAATTCTTTGGAAACGGCTTTTATGCCCCAAGATATCATCTCTTTCCTTTTATTTCACTTTAATGTTCTTTGGTGGTGGTTTGGGGTTCCCAGGGTTGAGTGCAGAGCTGCTCCCATCATGTTCCTCTGCTCTCACTGAAGATTTATACATCACATTTTCCCACTGAGCTTAGCACTCACTGGGGATCTTTTACTGCCGAAAATCCTGTGAGTTCTTCAATTACCAGCACTGTGCCACTGTGCACTAACAAACTTTATCTAATACAGCAGCATATCAAACATTTTTAGCTCTGTAACAAATGTTTTCTTAGCTGGAAGCAAATCTCCTCTGATATTAAAGAACCTCCAAATAAAGAGACCATTTTATATGATTTTTTTTTTCTATTGTCTTTAAGGAATATATTGTGGGTTGAGGGAAAATATACACAATTCCAGCTCTTTTATGTTTTGTAGACATCAGAATTTAAGGCCTAATTCCTGAAATGATGAAATCCATCAGTCCCACTGAATTCCAAAGGCTGGTGAGGGAGAAACTAGACTGAAAGCCAGGAATGTAACCTGAAAGTATCAATCCCCTGAAGCACTAAAAAGACATCTATGATTTTCCTTCAATAAAATTACAAAGGAGCAAGGAAAATATCCAGCTCTTGATTTACAGAATAAATAAATTCAGTCTACTACTACCAGCACCACCACCACCATTTGTTTTATCTCTAAAATACAGAGTTAGGGGCTAAACCAGCCATTTCTATCTCAAATTTCATCCATTTGGGATTAAAATCTTCTTTTCTTCCTAATTTACCCTTCCTGCCCTGCCTTCCCTGTCCTGCAGCACAGGAAATCTCTACAGAAACACAACTGCCTACAGCTGAGAACAAAGTTTTGCCAAAATCTTCAATACATTGCCACCATTTTAAATGCAATTTTTTGCCTGAAAACCAAAAGTAGAGGCAGTATCATGTTCATCCAAATTTCTCTTGGTCACTTCCACTTTAAATAATTAATCTTCTCTGTTGTAACATTTTACAGCTCTTTGGAAGCATTAATTAGCACAAGGAGCTAAATTGACTTAAATTCTTGCTGCCTTAAAATCGAGTAGGGAATTAATTCCTCTCTTATTCTCCCTCTCTTCCCATGTTACTTAAAAATCAAAATAATTATTTCTGGTGTTTGTGACTTGAACTTTTCCAGGATGGTGAGTGCCCCAGGCTGGCATTGGGTCACCTGCTAAACTAAATGGGAGCAGCAGTACCTGAATGCAGGTATGGCCTGGTGGTCAAGAAAACATCAATCTGCAAAAAATGTAAATGAATTTGGAGGGAGGAACAAACCTGAGGGGTGATTTGGTGGGGAACAAACCAGAACAGAAAGCTGATATCCTACAAAACCATCAGTGTAAAGGATCTGAAGTAAAGGAGCTTGGCAACTGCCTTTTTTTTCCCTTTTTGTCTTTACTGTTTGGTTTTGTTTTTTTGGTTTTTTTTTTTTGGTGCTGGTGGTGGTTTTGGGGGATTTTGCTTTACCTTGTTCTGATTGCTTTATTTCATGGCTTTGCTTAACACACTTTCTCCAAAAATCACTGACCAAGCATAAAAGAAACCTCGATTGCTCCAGAAATCCCTTCACCAAAGGGAGCAGGACACAGCAAGGAAGCAGGAGTTTTGAACCCACTCTCAATTTCAGCATTTCTATCCTTACAAAAACTTCATCTTCCACATTATTTCCATATTATTAAGATCTTCCTATTCAAAGATCCCAAAAAGGTGGCTGTGTCAACTACCCAACCTGGAGTTCAAGGCCTTTATGGGTGAGGAGACATTTGGGAGCATAACAACAGCACAAAATCTTTATCAAAGATTGTCAGAGAGTTGGAATTACCAGTGACTATCAGTCAATAATTGTTGGAATAAGTGCTGGGTGAGGGATAACCCTTCCCAAGCAATTCTGCTGTGGGAATGAGAAAAGCAGCTGGAAGGAATTCATGACTAGAACGTCTCAGAGCTCAGAGAAATGTGATGTATAAACAGATTATTATTTCCTGTGGATATTGATGATAAATGAACTGGATTTGGTATGGCTGGGAAATATCACCACCCTCCAAGCCACCACAGCTCCCTATGGCTGAAGGCAAAAACCTTCCCTGTAACTTATGAGGACTTGGGAAAAAAAGAAAGCACTGAGTAGTTGGGTCGTTGGAAATACAAAAGTTGCACATTCCTCCTGCACATTTTTCATTTAATTAGTATTTCCTGCGGGCTTTCAGTGTAATGAGTCATTGATTATTGCAAGGAGTGCTTTGTAGGGTAAATTAATTCATTTAAGAGAAACGGTAAGAAGTGTTAAGTAGCTGGATAAATAAATAAAAGGCAAAGTGTTTTGGTCATTTGGTTGCAAGTCAGGCCCAGGGGACCCCCATTTCTCTAAATCAGCTACTCAGTGAACACACCAATACCTGCCCTCCTCTTTCCTTATCTTTACCTGTACCTGCAGCTTTTATAAATCATGGAAAATCCCTACAGATAAAACAAAAATAAAGAAAACTCTGCTCCTCTACTGAAAATCAGATTCCTTTTACCAACCTGATAACAATTACATGAGAAAATATATGTAAAAGATTGAGTTTCCACCTAATTTAGAGAAAACTTCTATTTCTGCATGTTCATTTCAAATAATAAACAGAATTTCTGAAAATAAAGCAAGAAGAGTACATTAACATTTAAGGTCAAAAAGAGAAAAAGGTGATGTTTGGAAGAACTGGTTGTACCTGAGACGTTGATCTTAAAACATAGACCTGGGACAGGACGAAGGATATGTAAGGATATTACCTGGCTTTTCACAGGGATTACAAAAAGATATTCTAAGGAAAAAGTCTTTGAAACAAGGAACATCTTCAATGCAAACAGAGATGGAAAAGGAGTTAATTTTTCCTCCTTGGGACATCTCTGATTCTTCTTAGCTGAAGATATATTGGTATTTATCAATATATTTATGCAGGATGTGATTTACCAACCCAGTTAGCAACTGGCTTTTGGGAATTCCATACAGGGGAAAGAAAGAAACAATATAATTCCTCATGACCTTATCTTGAGCCCATTCCCACCACAAATGAGCTTGGATCACAAAAGATTTGGCACCAGTAAAATCTGGTTATAGTTTGTGAAGATCCCAAACTCCCTGCAGTATTAAACTCCATAAATCCAGGGGAAAGGTTGCCTCATATTTGGACTGAACAAGGAGCTACAAAATCCACAAACATCATAGTTCCTCTGGTGGATTTTATTGTTGAGAAGGGTATCCAAGGTGCTGGGAGGAAATTTCTTTCCATTGGTCTCATTTTGTCTTTACAAAACTTGCCTTTTGCTGCCTCCTGCCTTGGAAACTGAATTTTAGGTGTTGGCCAGAAACACTCCGTGAACACCCAAACACAGAAAGGTAACAACCACCTCAGTTTCCAAACATTTCTTCAATTCACACTGTGAAGAAAGAGAGAAAAAAAAAAAGCCTTTATACAGGAAATTATTCATAGAAATCACAATCTAAGCAGGGGAAATGCTAAATTCGAAAAGTAAATTAGTCATTTATAATATGCAGTCAGATCTAGCCTGAGATGTGCTATTAACTCATTTTAAGCTGCAAAACTCCAGGGACAAGAGCCACATTTTCCATGTTGGAACTTGCAGAGTCAAATTTAAACCCATTAATGGTACTCACCAAGCACCAGCGCTCTGAGGTGGCCTCACTGAGCAAGGCAGAGCAAATTCCATTTATCCAAGGTTCTTCCTCCAGTGAGGAGCAGTTATCAGGCTGCATGAAAGCTGAATTAAAAATCTCAACTTAAAATAGGGTGTGTAAAAAGTAGCAGGGAGTCCTTCCCTCCCTGGAGATCCCTGTTTTCCCAACAAGCAGGCGGATTGTAAGGAGCCATTGTCTATTATTTTCTGCTGGTAAATGACTTAGTTCCCATGTCTGCAACGCTGTCGGGGACTCCAGCTTGGGGACACATCTCCAGCTGGCCCTGTGCAGGCACGGAGCCTCTCCCAGGGAACACAGGGAGCTCAGGGAGTTTCACTCCTTGGCATGGAAAAGAGGGGAAAGAAAGGTGCCTTTCCAGCATCAGCAGCCAGGTGAGTAGGAATGCATTTACAGACATGGATTTGGGGGTGACTTCAATGACTGAAATTTGCTTACTGGGAACTCGTGAAGCTGGGGGTGTCTCTGGGAAGAATGCAGAGGTGGGGAGGCTCTGGCACAGGTTTCCCAGAGAAATTGTGGCTGGCCCATCCCTGGAAGTGTTCAAACCCCATCTGGCTGGGGTTTGGAACAACCTGATCTGGTGAAGGTCCCTGTCCACAGCAGGAGGGTGGGAGTGAGGCGATCTTTGAGGTGCCTTTTAACCCAAAATCTTTTGTGACTCTATGATTTAGATTTTTGACTTGGGACTGATGATGCTGATGTTGAAATGGCTGATAACATCAGGCTTTTTTTCCCCAGACCTGTTTGGTTACTAAAAATAGCACAGAATCTTGAAATAAATAGTTTGGGTTGGAGGGCAGCTTAAGGATCACCTAATACCAGTATGCAGTGAGAATGTTCACAAAAAGAGCTGAGTTCTGCCCTATTATTATCTTCGTAAAATATTTTTTATTTTCTAGAAATTGCATAAGTTGATCCTTGCAATGCTTTACAAATAATGCATTTATCCATCATTTAAACTGTACATTATAATTTATAGGTTAGTTATTTTATTTTGGTGTCAATCAAAGTGGCAATCTGTATGAAAGAGCTTAGATTAGGAGAGAAATTTTTCATGGTAAGCTTTAATAAACTAACGATGACATTATAAGAGCTATCAAATAAAAACCTGCCATCTAATAATAAGCTTGTTCCTGTTTATTTAAATGTTCCACTTTGTGCTTGTTTGTAAAAAGTTAACCATTACAGCAAAGTTCAACCTGTGGAAATAGGTGAGTCTGTTTTGGCCAAAACCTGCAGCACTGAGCAGTGGAAAGGGAGTTGAAGATTTCAGCCCTTTTTATTGCAGAATAAAACCTCCTTCTGGAGATGAACAAGAGGTTTTGCCCAAATAACTCCTGTATGAGGCAGAGTGAGGGTTATCCCTGTCCTAGCACAGCCCTGTGCAACCTGACCTTGAATATTTCCAGGGATGGGGCATCCACCCCCTCCCCTGGCAGCTTGTGCCAGTGTTTTGTAAAGGAATTTCCTCCTAAATCTGTCTTGCCCTTACTCCACCAGGCTGGAAGCTCCAGTGGCTCCCAGAGATGACCCTGCTGGGCAGCCACCTGCTCCCTTGCATTCCACAAACTAAAACACATTCAAAATTTATTCATCAAAGTTATCCTTGAGGAACCAGCTCTCCCAGCATCCTGAACCCCAAAACACACCCACATTCTCTGATCCCAGGGGAGCACGTTCATCCTGGCTGCTCCTCTCCCATGTCTCCCAGCAGGGACAAAGCAGGATGCCCTGACTCCTGGGGGCTGCTCAAACACTCTGTGCCTGTGCCTGCGCCATGGAGGTTAAACCCTGACACTCCTGAGCACATGGCAGAGCTCTGCCAGCTGCTGAGAAATGAGATTGCAGCATGGGCCATGTTCAGTCATGGATTTTGGACTTGTTACACCCTCTCCTGCTGTGACCCAACCAACCACAGCCATACGGAGTGGTGGGAGCACCGCTGGCCACACCTGCTGGTGGCCTCAGGTCAGCTTTGGCAGCAGCCCTGCCCGGAGCCCCTCCATAAATCACACACTAAACCCGTGTCTCTGGCCATCTGGAGGCTCCCAGCTGGACCACGAGCTCAGATCTTACAGCTCTTGGCACTGCAGTGGTGGGCAGTGGCAGCACGGGATGCTGAATGTTCTCCACGGGAATGGGATGTTCTCTGTGGGAATGGGATGTTCCCTGTAGGAATGGGATGTTCTCCATGGGAATGGGATATTCTCTGTGGGAATGGGATTTTCTCCAAATGAATGGGATGTTCTCTGTGGGAATGGGATGCTCTCCATGGGAATTAGATATTCTCCATGGGAATGGGATGTTCTCCGTGGGAATGGGATGTTCTCCATGGGAATGGGATGTTCCCTGTGGGAATGGGATGCTCTCCATGGGAATTAGATGTTCTCCATGGGAATGGGATCTTCTCCATGGGAATGGGATGTTCTCCATGGGAATGGGATGTTCTCCATGGGAATGGGATGCTCTCTGAGAAAGGGATGCCCCCAGAGCAATGCAGGGCACCAGCCCAAATCACCCCAAGACCTAAACAAACTCTGCTCTTTCCAGCACCCTGCAGAGGAAGGAATCCACCTCACCTGCATTTCAATCCATTTCAGCATACAGGTGCCTGGAAAGCAACATTTCTTCTTTTGAAGGAGAAAATCCCTCTTAGCCCCACCTCTTCCACTTTTTTTCTGGTCCAGAGCAAACTGTTGTTGCTGGTGGTGCTGTTTCCCTGCAGAAAGGAGCAGGTTAACCTGTGTCATTTGGAAATACCATTTGCCTTCTTCTCTCCAGATGGAAACTCTTTGCTTTCTGCTATCATTAAACACACAACTAAATCAAGATATGATCTGCTAACATATTCAAAATAATGTTTGGCCTGAATTTTTTTTTTTTCACTTCAAACATCAATTTCATTTCATAATGAATACATGCTTCATCTCATAACATTTCATTTTTCATACATTTAGCAAAATTGCTTAACTGATATTTTTTCCCCCAAACAGCTTTATCCCTTCACTAAAGACATGCAAATCAAAGACTTGCACTCTTATATAATGTGCAGAATTCCCTACTGTTGGTTCAATTGCTAAATTCTAAAATATTCATAATAACTATATTTTTTTTACAACATTAACTCGGTATCGTGATTCTCTTTTCAGTGAAAGCACATTAAGATGCACAAGCAGAATTTTACAGGTATCTCTGTGCAATGTTTTTTTGGTTTTATTCACTCCCCTCTCCAGAGGGGAGCCTCCCCAGCACCCACCACGTGCTCCACATCCCGGGAGCGTTATCAGGAACACCGGCAAGGCACATCCAGCCTCCCTTGCTAAGCCTAAAGCCCTTTGCAATTCTTGTCTGAGCAGTTGTTAGCTGGAGACAAGACGACTTATTTCCATTCATTCCCCACATAATCCACCTTATGAATTTCCACTTCACCTACCCGCACAGCCAAGGAGCCAGAAATACAAAATATTTCCTACTGTGTTTTAAACCCACATCCTCCTGGATACACGATAAGAGCTTAATAGCTTTGACACTGCACTGTTTTCATATTCATGCCTAAGTTATGGATACAGCAACAGATCAGCACTTCTTTGTGCTTGGCATTGGCTCTGCTTCGCTGCCTTAAACTGTGTGAGTCAAGGCCACGTTTTAATGCCATAGAGCTCTATTCAAATACCAGTATGACCACATTTTAAAAGCCACCCTGTACCACTTCATTGCCGCAGATGTCCTTTACATCTGGCAAGGGCCGTTTCTCTGCATGTCAACAGTAATTCAGTTTAACAGCTGTCTCTTTTGACAAGCTTAGTGTCAGACTCTAAAATGACAGGGTGACAGTTTTCCTTTTCTTTAACAGAACATAGTGAAAATTAACTGTTTGAATGCAGGAGCACCAAACGCCTCCCAAATACAGTTTGGAGTCAAGGGAATGGGGTTGGGAATTGTTGGTATTAACAACCCGAACTGGAAACCTGCACGGTCTGACAAATCCTGGCACTGTCCCTGGAACTGAGATTTTTACCTGAAATCAAAGTGATCAGCAGCCAGAAAAACTTAAATTGGGTTGAAGTAGATGTTGGAGAGAAACCCTGGGAATTTGCACGCTGGCATGATGAGAAATTTTCCTGAATTGCATAAAGACACAGGACGATATTTCATTTATTTAGTTAAAGTGCTTCTTAACACAGCAACTAAAGGTACCCCATGTACCTTTACATGTACTCAGTACATGTAAAAGTACTCAGCTTTCCAAAATTACTCCATACACACAAGTTTTCCACAAATTTCAGGTCTCCAAAAACACCTCAGCATAATTTCTGTAGAACTACAACTGTGCCTGGAGTAATACTGTACATCTTCATGACTGAAACCTTTAACAGCAAAACCAGCTTGTGGACAGTCACAAAGTGCCAGCACGATTTATAAGCCACCAATAAATGCTACCAATACACTGCTTTAATCTGGTTTAAGAGTGAGCTTTACGAGGCTGCTTGTATTTGGCTCACATAAAAGCGAATTAAAAATATATAAACCTCACACTATCTGTGTTTAAACCATGCACTGGTGGCAGCTGTACAATGGGTCACCTCCTTGTGTCTCTGTTCTCCAGGACTGAGCATTGAGAATGGAAGATGCCTCCCCAGTTCAGTTCTTGGCCAACCTCAGAGTGGCTGCAATGACACTTGATTCCATCTCACACAATTTGTTTTAAAGAATTACAGAAGATTTTCTGTTGTCTGTTCCTGGGTAAGCAGGTACAGCTAAAGCATAACAGAATAAACAACAAAAGCCAAACAGGTTGAAAGGATGCAAAAACAAGCATAATATTGAAGCTCCTTAAGTAATTGCTTTTGTTGGCTTAATGTTGCCATAAGGAAGAATTTTCTCACCAAGGTGACAGAGCAGTGGCACAGGATGCTCAGAGAGGTGAAAGGTGCTCTGTCCCAGGGAACATTCAAGGTTATCTTGGACAGGGCTCTAAGCAACGTGGTGTAGCTGAAGATGTCCCTGCTCATGGCAGGGGGTTTGGACTGGATGGCATTGAGGGGTCCCTTCCACCCCAAATCATTCTCTGATTCAATGATAAATATTTATATATAATACCCATGACTACAACATGTGGCCACCTCATGATATTTAGAACAAATCACACACAAATGCCCACAAATACCTCTAAAAGCCATGCTCATTTTTCTGAGCTTGGATGGAGATTTCCCATTTCTCAGTCTCATAACACAGCCCAGCTCTTCCTTTTTTATTCCACCTTTTAAACACAATTGGTCACGACCTGCAGAAGTCACTGATTGTCCACCACTCTGTATCCAGGCCTCTCCTACAGCAAAACTTTGTCCCTGTGCTGCAGGGGTGGGACAGAGATGCTGACAGTGCCACCTCCCTCCCCACTCCTTCCCCACCCACACACCCTGTGCACACATTTCCATATCCCAGAAATTCATACTTTCATAGCCAGAGGTGAATCTCTGCAAAGGGAACACATTGCTGGGGTTTTATTAATATATCATGAAGCTCAGTTAGCTGCAAACACATATTTTTAGCACAACATCAGCCCCATGGGACGTGCAGGTCGCTGCCTTTGGAAGGGTGGGCTGTTCTTAGAATTGCACTCAGAGCTCAGCTACACAAAACATAGAGCATCACTTTAAATACTTCATCTCCCTAAAACCTCTCACATGCCTGGAACACTAATAATTCTATAACTTAAGCTGAACAGAGTACTATTCAGCTGTAAATTTTATGGCTACCCTCTCCACCTCTTATGAAGTGTGAAAAGAGGCTTCATATCTGTCAGTCTTTGCTCAGAAATGACTTTCGCTGATTACTTAAACTTTCGTTAAATAAGCTTTCCACAAGCTGTAAAAACAGAACACAGTAGGGAAAAAATTGGCTCTCCTTTAAAAGTGCTGTAAAGTCTCTTTTTGAATGAGTAATTAGAAATGTGTAAACTCATTTATGGATATGTGAGAAGCACACACAAAAAAATTGACATTCCATGGAAGTATTTCTGTGTGCTATCAAATTTCATTGTATTTCACAGAGACCCAAACTATACAGACCCAAAATACACATACATTAGTGGACATGGGTTATTTGCCAAGGAGGAATTTACATACAGTACAAGTAAAACATCCTCATTTAAATATATGACAATGGATACTCACATTCTTAAAGAGAAATCACAGCTGTTTGTCTTTCCTCTCATATTTATACAGATTGCAAAGCTGTTGACAGAGCATGATTTGAGCTGGGCCTTTCCAACTGCTTACTGTTATTTTTATTGCCATTGTCAGCTATCTTTTCCATATCAAGATTAAGTTTAGATGAAGAGGTTCTGATATCCCAAACCCATACAGGAACACCCAGGTGGTCAGGCAGGGAGTGGCAGTGACAGATCCCAGGTCCCACTGCTGGTCCTCATCCCCCTGAAAACCCCAAACCCTTTTAGTTAAACCAAGTTTCCATCTTCATTTCCCACGCACAGACAAGCTGCCCATCCCCAAACCAGACTCTGCAGACGCTCTGCAGCCCCCCTATACCTTCAGCTTTTGAGGCCCTTTCCCTCTTTTAAAACTTGCATTATTTGTGCTGAAAACTTGCTTTGCCTCCGAGCCTCGCGCTCGTGGCAGGGGGTGAGCATCTCATCTCATCTCATCTCATCTCAGCAGAAGAGAGAGACAGGCAGAGCTGAGGGTGATGGGTGGTGCCCCTGTGTGATTTCCCACCTCCCTGGGAGAGGGGACAGGCCATCCCGGGGCCAGGGAGATGGAAAGCATCCCACCTCCAGACTGGTAGGACGTTTGCTGGGGGATGTCCCGCTGGGCACACGTACTGTGCACTATAAATAGTAATGTCTTCCATGCTCCTCTCAACAGAGGAATCTGCAGGAGGGGAAATAGTCTCAAATCTGTGTCATTTTCTAGGCAAACAGAGCCAGCCTCATTCCCTCCTCGGCAGGGAGGCTGGGGGTAGGGGGTGCTCACCCCCAGTCCTGTGGAATTAGGAAAAGCAGGGCCCAGCTGATGACTCTGGGGGTGAAGAGCTGCCCCACCACCCACTGCCAACCTTCCCATCCCACTTGGTCCCACAGGTATTTTCCTTCCCCTCCACGGGCAAGCTCAGCCCCTCTCCCAGGAAGGTGCTGGTCACCCTGAAAGGTTTAGGGGGTGACATGAGGAGGTGGCATTAACTGCTTCCCAAAGCACCCCTGCTGGAAGGGACTGCCAGATGCGGCTCCCCCTCTGAATCCCATGGATTTCCAGCATGGAAATGGTGCTGAGGAGAGCAAAGAGCACTGCAGTGCTCTCTGACTAGAATATATTAGCAAAATACCTCTCCCAGTAAAGATATTAGGTTTATTATTATTATTATTTTAATCCCCCAGAGTCCACCTGCAAAGTCCAACAATCCTGTTGGTAGCAGAGCAATGCCCCTGCTCCTGCTTCCCACCACTGCTCCGAGCCAGTTCCCTGGCAAAGCATCCCCAGGCCCAATTTGGTGCCAAGTCTGTTACAAAACCAACCACAGTGCAAATGTTTTCGAGGAGAAGAACAAAAGTGTGAGAAAGGAAAAGGCTTCACACATCTGCACCGTGGAGAATGTATTTAGTGCTCCCAGAACCTATTAGATGGGGTGATCCAGGCAATTTATTGTTTTGTCAATAGCTTTTATTTTGATTTAATAACTTACAAACCCCACGGTCTATCT